AGACTTCTGCTCCCTTTGATTCTGAGGTTATGAGCCATAAGAACGATACTACTAATGACATGGATATTGCCAAAATTTGATCCCTGAGGATTATATCCTCTACTGGTTCCGAGGATGATGTTATTTTGGAACCATATGGTCCAAAGGAAAGAGTGTATACTTCGGCCAAAAGATGTTTCCGAAGAATTTTTCTACTTCTATCCTAGTATTTTGGAAGATTTCAACATCTATGTTGCTTTTTCTGACATCATGGTTGACGTGTTGAAGACTGTCAATATAGTACCTTCCCAACTTTGTCCCAACAGTTGGAGATTTATAAAGGCTTTTGAGAAGGTTTGTGAGATTTTGAACATTGTTCTGACTGTAGGTTTGTTCTTATCCTTCTTCAAGGTGAAAGGAGTTGATAACCGTATTTGGGTACAAATCAGCGAGATTCCTGGCTGGAGTTTTCTCCAGGCATACACCTCCAACTATAAGAATTATAAGAATCGATTCTTAAGGGTAAAGAGTGGGCCGAGGTGTCCACAAGTATTATATGCTTTAGTTGGACATCCGCGCTTTCCTCATTACTGGACCAAAGATCCCTTGCCGGTTACTGGTTTTAACTATGACAAACTGAATGACTTGGAACTCTAATCCTTTACCATTCTTGACTCATTCGTATGATAAGGATCAAAGAATTGTTGCCCTTAGATGACGATCGACTTCTTGCCTTTCTGGTAATCATCATCTTTTGCTTTAAATTTTAGGGTGCAACAGGCCTCACGCAGATTCATCATCAAAATGATACACACCTCATCTTCTTCTCTCTCATTCTAACAAAATTGAGTTTATAAATTCCTAACTTTTCACTCTCACAAGAAATGGAGAGTGAATCAAAATGAGTAAGAAGAATTTTAAAGGGAAGTGGATGAGAAGAGTGGAAAAAATGAAAGAAATCAAGGAACTAACCTCGCCAGAAACTGGAGTTATTGCTAGAAAGATGTTGAATATCGCTAAAATCTTCATATTGTCGTCGGAATCTAGAAATTTTCAAAGCTCTGATTTGCTTGGTTTCATTCGTTTTCTATTGCTTTTTGCATGAATCTTCTTTCTACACTCATGTTGAACCTTTACCCCATGAAATTTCATTGTAATCTCCCTTAATTTGTTCAAACTAAACCAATTTTGTAATATAGGGTTTTTATTCTTAAATGTTTTGAATGATTTGTTTTCTATTTTATTGTGTGTGTGGTTAGATTTGTGTTTGATTTAGTAAGAATGAGGGTTTGAGAGTTGTTTTCATGTGTTTTTTTATTGTTTGTTTCTAGAAAATTCATAGTGTTCATCAAGAAAACTATGTATGTGATAACATGAACAAGGAAGAGAGAGAATAAAGAGATTGAAAGAGAAGAGAGAGAAATTTTGGAGAAAATGGGGAGATTCGTTGGATATCATAAGTTTAATCTTTCCTTTTCTCTCCCTTTGAAGGTCATGTGGCTAGATCAGATTCCCTAAATTGATTACAAGGATACTCATGTACATGAGTTCCTATAGTGCCCCTCAAATCTGGGCCTTTAGATCTTGATCCACTTGTCAAGAATGTTTCAGTTTGTTTGATCTCAGCATTGATCAAGGACATCTGATCTTCATCAAATGACTGTGCATATCTCAACCCTTTTTCTTTTTTTGCTTGCAGGCCTCTAACCTTGAGCTTGAGTGTGCTTTCTTTTCACACAACCCTTTTCTTTTCCACCACTCTTTTTTTTCTCCTATTAAAAGACCCCTCTCTTTTTACTTAATGATACCCCTAACCCATGTATGCAACCTTTTTTATCTATTTGTTTTTATTTTATTTATCTTCATTATTTTATTCCTTTTACAAGTTTTTTTTAATTTGTTTTGTTAATTAATTAATCAATTATTTAATATTAACAAATATGAATATTTAATCAACTTGTTTTCACCATAAAATCAAACTCATTTTCAATATAAAAAGTCATTCTCACAATTAACCGCAAAATTATTTTTATAATTAAACTTAGATAAAAAAGGATTAGTTGAACGTAATATACATCCTAGTCTCCGAATATTTGGATACAAGTCGTATAGCTCGCCTTTTGAATATTTGTCATCCTCTCAAAACTGAATAATACAATCGAATCCAATTCATTCTTTATCAGACAAAAAAGGACTAGTTGAATGTAATATTCATCCTAATCCCCAAGTGATCACTACAAAAATCAGAATAATGACTATTGAGTTAGAACTCAACTAAAGAAACTAAAATCTATAATTTAAGATATGAATAAAAACGCTAGAGTAGTGCATATAAAATAACACAAGCAAAGACTTAAAAGATAAATCCTAACACAAAAATCTTTAATATTTGCACACTTCAAACGTTAGGTTTAAGTCTCGTTAAATAATAATGCAAACTCTAGACTTTTTCAATTGACATTAGATCACATGTAGAATTGTAGAATATTTTATTAAAATTTATTTTTCAAATTTCCTCTAAAAATATTTGATTTTATTCTATTTTAAATCTTTATTTAAATTGATTTAATCACGTACAATATAATGAGCTTGACAATTTGGCCCATAATCTTTCAAAGTGGGTGTCAAGATTGTACATTATAAAAGAGCATTGTGGGGGAATTAAAATGAAACTTTACACACTTCTCAATACTTGTTATTTAAATAAGTATCAAGTTAAATAATTTATTTTTCAATTAATTTATTTACATCCAGGCCAAGATATTCCTTATTTCTTTTTTACATATCAAATTTAAATTATTTTTAATTACTTGTTGTTTTAGAATTCAATGATTAATTAATTATAAATTTCTTAATATTTTTTGTAATTTATTGTAGAGAGAAAAAAACAAAATGAAATAATAAATAATTAAGAATAGTTTTTTTACCAGATTAATTAAGAATATTCAAAAAATAAATATAAAATTTTAAAAATAAAAAAATTTATTAACATTTTTAATTTAATTTATAATCATTTAATATAGCAACAAAAAAATCTAAACATAGTACATAAAAGAGAAAGTGAAAAGTACTACATCATGGCCTAAACGTCTCCATAAATATTTCCTGTGGCCCTCATTATTTCATTACGTGTCTAAACATGGAACACTCAATTCACCTACTTCTATGGTGGCATTAGGACGAAGAAGAAACGTACTAGTATTGTTCATCATTAATGCCTCTTTAATCATTGGATATTTTTATTTAATTCAAAAGGTCATGATTGATTGATGATTGACAATTTTTTATTAAATATGTTTTTCTTTCTCTTAAATATTCAAATTTCATTTTTAATTTTTCAAAAAATTTATTTATAATTTTCTTAATATTTTCCGCTACACTTTCCATCTCTCCTATTAACGTTTTTTAATAAAAATCAATATGCTAATGTGATATGCCAAGTGGTTAAAGTTAAGATCATACTTGAACCCGAAAAAATCATAGCTAACAAATAGGTAATTTCTAACAAATTCAAAAATCAAAAAATTTTAATATCATTGAATTTTTTAATATGGGTAAAAAACTCTTAAACGAAAGTCATTTTAAAATGAATGAAGTAGTAACAATATAAAATTATTGTGATTACAATTTTTTAAAAGTAATAATAATATAAGGGCGCCATTGAGATTTGAAACGTGTTCATAATGTTCCTGTTATAGCCTTGTAGGATTGTATTTTTTATAAATATTGGTGCTAGAATCTATTAACAAGAAACTTAAAAAATTAAATCTTCAAATTCATCAATTTCTAGTGAAACGAAGTTTGGTAGAATATTTATCCTATTACACTCTGATTCATATGTCACTAAAAAATAATTTAGATTTCACAAAGCTCAATTTTTAAATAAAACCCTTTAAAAATAGTCGTTAGAAAGTAGAATATTATTTATAGTAGTTACAAAACCTAGGCACTAGATAATGAATAACATATAAGATTATGAATACTAAATTATCAAATGAATTGTCAAATAAGAAGCAGCTTGTAAATTGTCAAATTGCAATAATGGAAACAAAGGTTACAAAAACCAACAATTAGATTTCAGCTTTCTTTAGAGTTTATAAAAATTAGATTTCAACTAAGTTTCAACTTTCTTTTTATCAAACATCATGACAAATTGATGATGGTGATAAGTATAAGTTATCGATGGCATCATAATAAAATGCTTCAACGTGAACAAACTCCATTATTTTTAGAAAAAACATGATCACGGATTAATTCTTGTTTTAAACAAACATACCGTATTTTTTTCATAACCAGAACTCCTATACAGAATTTGTTAGAGATTAACTACAACTTTAACTACTCATTAACTATGAAATTTTATGGAATTGAATATGATATTAATCTTTCACGTCAAATCTTTGCCAGGTTGGTATTGTCATGTGTACGTCAAATCATCAACAAACTTTCACGTGGCGTGCTACATTAGTTTCTGTTAACAGACATTGATAAGAATAATCAAAAGTGTGGACGAAAAAATATTATGATGATTATTATTTGAAGGAAATTCTTTTAGAAACTAAAAGTGAAAATCGTAATATTTATGAAGACTAAAATTAATCAACATTGATTCTCTCCCTTTTTTTCTATCTATTATATAAAATTAATTTTAGCATTATAAATATAAATTAAATAAAAATAGTTGATTTTTTTCTTTCATCTTCATTTTCTCAAAACTCATATTTTTATTTAAAGGTGACAAAAGGAACTCGTTTTATTGAATATGTCTGTTTTGCCTACAGTTTAATATGGAACCATATAAAATTTAGATCTTCACTTTCTAATATGTCTAGTCTCTCACACCCCATTAAGTTTATACTTATATGAAAGTGGTAAATCAAATGAATTTTGTGATATCAACTACCCACTTCATTTACACAGAACAACTACATCGTCATTTATTTATACTTTTAAAAAAAGAGACTTTAATTTCTCAACAACATGCAGCAAATAATGACAAATCAAATAAACATAATAAAACTTTACATTACATTTTTCTTAACATCAACCCCACCACGTTTCTTAATATCTTCCATAAATTCATCAATATTCCGATCAGATGATCCGCCAACAGCCACCGCTGCCTGCGCCGCCTTCTTCCACTTCATTGCATTAAGCTTCAACCTCTCTGCTTTTTCTCCCGTCATTGCTTCCAATAAGCACTTCTTTACTTCATCTCTTGTCACCAATTTATTTTCCAAATGACCATACCCCAATCTAATACCAACTTCAAAAACATCCACCAAGAACTTTGCATTTGTGAGTTGATCACCCCATGCTGGAAACGTCACCACCGGAACTCCTAAAGTAAGTGTTTCCATCGACGAATTCCAACCACAATGTGTCATGAAACATCCCACTGAAGGATTAGATAATACTTCTTCTTGTGGACTCCATTTCACCACTTTTCCTCTCCCACTCGTTTCCTCCAAAAACCCTTCCGGCAAAACATGTTCCTTTAGTCTCAATTCCTTAGAAGGTGGTTTTACGACCCATAAAAACGAAACTTTAGACTCCAACAACCCATACGCAATTTCGTTCATTTGTTCTTGAGGAAAATACGCAACAGTTCCAAAGGAAATGAAAACAACAGAACGTTTTGCCTTCGAGTTTAGCCACTCTATAATACTACTATCGTTGCTCTTGACAAAATCGCCACGAATATTACTCGCGCTTTTAATCATTGGGTTGTTGAACAAAGGACCAATAGTTCTTATCGGGATTGATTTCTCCGAAATATAGTCGATGAAATCATGTTCCAGTTCTTCATATGTATCAGCCAGTACACAAAAAACTTTAGATAAGTTCTTAAACTGTTCTAAGATGAGTTCTCCTAGAAACGGAAAGGCACTAAATGGATGTAGAAAATCAGGGATTTCATTGAATTTAAGAGGTAGACAAGGTAATGGAACGTCAATATAAGGTTCTGAAATGGAAGGGAAAGGTACGAGTTTGTGGAGATAGTTATAGTAAGCGATAAAAACAGAAACGGATTGAGTCCATAATAGAGCAGAGGGAATATGATATTGAGAAGCAACATCACAAACCCAAGGAAGAAAAGGATTGTTTATGATACATGAAAATTGTTTGTTAGAATCAGCATGATTTTGGATCATTTGAGAAAGAAAGGGTTCCCCAACAAGTTTGAGTTGTTGAATGTAAGCAGGAAGATCTGTTCGGAGGGGATCATCGTCTGGTAAGCCGTCGTCAAAGAAGTGGAAAGTGAGAGAACCGTCGCCAATGGGAGTGATTGATTTATCAGTGATGTTGTTAACGGTTCGCATGTCTTTGCCAGCATACTCTGTTGTGAGGAAAATGACAGAAGCACCCTTTGAGGCAAGACATTTTGCAAGTCGAAGAAGAGGGTTTATGTGTCCTTGTGCTGGGTATGAGATAAGAAGAAGGTGAGTGAGAGCTTCTGATCCCATTTTGTTTTGTTTTGTTCTTTGGGTGGTTTTCTTGAAGAGAGTTGGAGACATGGAATTTATAGTGGTAGAAAAGAGGATATTCTTTCCTATATATTATGAAAATGATATAAACACTTAGCATTGATGATTTCAACTTGCTATACAACTAACTACAACACTACTAGTATAATAAATAATTGTCACCAATAAGATCCATGCAAATATTTTATTTTAATGCTATAGTTTGTAATATTTTGGGCCATGAGATTCATTTATAGTAAATTTATATTGAAAAAAATAATTTAAAAAATAATTTTATAGTTTAATTAAAATTTATATATAATTTTTAAGATAATATTTTTTAATTTAGTTCTTAACTTATACTTCAAGAGCTAACTTTGGGCATAAGTTAGCATTACAATTTTTTTTAATTGTTGGTTGATCAAGGAACATGAAAGAAGAAGTTTCCATTGCTATATTCATAAACATGAAAGAAGTTTCTTTTGCTATATTCACAATTTTTTTAGGAATAAATATATTTGTGATTTTTCTAAATATTTTAAAATTTTTTTTATTCTTCAATATATATTTTTTAAAAGAGTAGTTCTCTTAAAATTTATCATCCATATTTTTGGTCTTGATATTAAAATTGTCGTTTATTTAGTCGTTAAATAATAAATTATCGTTAAAATTGTCGCTTATCCAGTCAATAAGTAATGAACGGTCACTAAAATCGTCATTAATTCTATCACTAAGTTGTAAAAATTGTCGCTAAATTGTAGGAGAGGTCAAAAGTGCAGATGAAATTTTTTATGAAGATCATTCTTTAAAGGAAATATTTTGAGAGATTAAAAATAAAATTTTAAATATTTAAGAGGACCATAATTATATTTAACCTTTTTTTTAATGTTTTTACTATGGGTGACCAATTAGCACTCTTGTGCAATGTGATAGTGGAATGCTTATATGTTTTTCAGTGAGTTGAATTTATTTATAGTTAGACAATAAGTTTATACTATGGAATAGACGTATTATTGCAACTATTAAAGTGAATAGGCAAATCTGTTAGAACATTTTCTTTTTATTTATTGTGTTACGCCTTCTTATTTGTAAGATTGTAGACAATTGCAAACTTCTTCTTCATGCTAGTATCTTGATGAAGAAATCATCATTGATAATTCAGAAAAGATGGATTAAGCCTTTTGATATCATTTGAGAGTCGGATATAAGATTGAGTGTTAAATTAAATATTTGTAAGACTAAGATATTGTGGTCATCATGTGAATGTAATAAGCATCTTGGGAGGTTATTTCCTTCACGCATTGGAAGACAAATATTAAGGATAAAATTTCTCAAAAGGGACGTTAGTTTAGATAGAGGTTTTGTCAAGAGGTTGTCAATGACTATCCAAGAAGTTGACAGGATTGTAGAGTTAATGCATCTTCCACATTTAAAGGATCCATAAAGTGATAAGCTTCTTCTACTTCAATCTTGCATGGATATCGTCGAACTCTTTTTGGCCTGATGACGTGCCAAATGATTTAGATGGAGGAGAAAAATATTTGATTTGGTAAATAGTTATGAGAAGTTGTCGAAGACATTGTGCTTGGTGGAGGTCCTTTCTTTAGGGGCCTAAATGGGGGTAACTTTTTTACCTATTAGGGTAAGGGTTGGGTCTGCACTTGATAATGAAGGATATCTCATATATTTTTGTGACTTCTGGGGCACATCTTAGATGTTACAAGGTCATACTTTGAGAGATAAAGGGTTATGTGTTATGGGCTCTACTTTTGATAGAGCTTTGGCTAACATTGGCAGAAAGATTGTGACTTTTAATCTTAAGAGTTTTACTAGCAAGAACACAGTCTCCGTAAAGATAACATGTTTTGCCGAATGAGCTCTTTATTAAAAATGTTCGAGGCATAGAAGTTAAGTTTGACATGAGCACAAAATATAAAATAGTTTTTGGGTCTTTCAAATTAGTGTTTGTCCAAGATTGTTATTAATGCACTAGGTCAACATATGTCACAAATAGAACACCGCATTATTCTTAGGTATCGGTTCATGATTCCATTATTTTCTATTGTCAAGGTTTGTCATGTTTTCGTAAGACGTGTCTATATATTTTGAGGGAGCACATATTTATTTACAAAGAACTTACAAGTTTCAAATACCGTCATGACTTTTTTAAGGTTCTTTTTATATATTTAGACATACAAAAGTATTTGCGAACAAAGAGATGTATGTGAACTTCTTGACTGATCTATGTGGAGAAAGGTCAAAACTTAGGCCAACAGATATTCTAGTGGACGGATGGGTAGAAGAAAATATGTATGTGTGGACAATCAGCACTCAAAGCCATCAAAGAATCAAAAATTTATTTTTAAAAAGAAAGAATTAAAATTTCATTTAAAAGAAAAAGAAAGAATACAAATGTATTTTAAACCTTAATGTTAATTTTATTAGTAAATGAATATAATAATTTTCTAATAGACATTCACAACTTAAATAAAACAACTTTATGCATCGAAACAGGGATGAAATAATCTCTTTTAGACGGAATACTATAACACACATCTTTATATTTTTATTTTGAAAAAATTCCGTATCCTAATCAATATTCATGTGGACACCAACCTCTAAATGTGTTAGTCTATTTTATAGACACATAAATACTCTTACTCATACTTGCATTTCAAATAAAATAAAATCAATCAAGTATGAAATATTATATAGTTTTAAGTTTTTAAAACATTAGAAAAGTTTTTAAAAATTTTACTGTTAAATTATGAAATAAATAAATATTTATATTAAAATATGTAATAGCTTAATAGAATTTTTTTTTAATTGTTAACATATACATTTATTTAATAGTTTTTATAATATATAAATATATACAGTATAAATATGAGCCTGAGTGGAGACTAAAGTGCTTATATATGCACTCTCATTGTAGTAGATTATGACTCGTACCTAAACCCTTATCAATTTTGCAATTCTTTTATAAACTATTATGTGGCCAATTTTCAGTAGTCAAATTATCATTTCTACACAAGAATAACTTTTTTTATTAATTTAAGAATAATAAATAAGACAAATTTGTTGAGTAAGCTAACTCAATTGAAATATGTTAATTGAGGTAAATAATTGTAAACTATTAATATATAATATTTATTTATATTTATATATTAATATAAGTAAATTATTAATATTTATAAATCACTCACTTTAAAAAAAATAAAAATAAAATCCCCGTTAATCAAATCCAAATAATCATGCAAAAACTAAAATCCAATAATTCCCGTTAATAATTAAATTATTAATATGTTTAAGTATCGTGGCCGAATTAAAATGAAGCTTTACACACTTCCCAAATACTTGTCCTTTAAAAAGTATCAAATTTAATTTATTAACTTTTTTTATTTAATTTATTAATTATTTAATATAGCAACAAAAGAAATATAAACAAATAGTACATAAAAAGAAAGTGAAAAGTACTACATACATGGCCTAAACGTCTCCATAAATATTTCATGTGGCCCTCATTATTTGATTACATGTCTAAACATGGAACACTCAATTCACCTACTTCAATGGTCGCATTTAGCACGAAGAAGAAACGTACTAGTATTGGTTCGTCATTACTGCCTCTTTTAATCATTGATATAGTTTTATTTATTTCAAAAGGTCATGATTGATTAATGATTGACAATTTTTTATTAAAGTTTATTTTTAATATTTATTATTTTTATATTAAATAATATAGCTTTAATTAATCAACATTAATCCTCTACTTTTTTTAATCTATTATATGAGATTAATTTTATTATTATAAATATAAATTAAATAAAAATAGTTGATTTTTTTCTTTCATCTTCGTTTTCTCAAACTCATATTTTTATTTAGAGGTTATTGGATATGTCTGTTTTATCCGCAGTTTAGTACGGGATGATAAAAATTTTAAATTTTTACTCTCTAATATGTCCACCCTGTCTCACTTCATTTTTTAAATTTATTCGGGTACGAACATTTACATAAACTTTTGTATTTTTAAATTTAAAAGGTGTAGTGCTCGTGAGCTTTTCTCACCTCACCCTAACTTTTTTGTGAAACGGGTATAGATTTTAGATCTGCATCATCAAATATATCTGCTTCGTCCCGTCATATTTTTTTGGATTTTCGTCAGATAAACTTAAATAAGGCAAATATGTCTGTTTGTCACCTCTACTTTCATCTAAACTCGAAAACATTTAATCATTCAAAGTTCAAAAAAGATTTTTTAGGTTGACCTGTTTATTAAAAAAAATCATAATGATCTTAACTTTGACCGAAAAATAATATAAAAAAAGGTTTAAGTTTTTTTTTTTCTTCTGAAAATTAAGTTTCGCTATCATCTTCTTCTTCAAACATTAATTATCTTCTTCTTCAAGTGATTCAGTGATAATTGGTGTTGGACTTAATAGAAAAGACCGTGATTCGATCTTTCGCAATTGTGATCGAGAGAGAACTAAAGTCACTTAATGTCAGAATTGACTCCGAATCAGAATATACTGTTTAGTGGACCAGATATTGGCAGTGGAAAAAAAATTCTAAATTAAAAGATCAAGAGATTCAAGTATTTTGTAGAAAATGTGGTGATGTGGAGCTTTGTGGAGACATTATAATATGTTCTTTTAATAACATGATAAAATAGATCTATAAAGATTTTGTGTTCTTTAAAACATAAGAAGAGAAGAAAAAAATTCAGAGTTTATTTTTTATTTATTTTAATTGTTAAACTTCTTTTAATAATTTATATATAATAGTTATATTATTGAAAGAATTGGTTTAAAACATAAACGGGAAAGAAATTATTTTCTGATTTTTTTTATAAATAACATTAATATGATATTAAACATTGAGAATTTTTTTATAAAAATGTTAATATAATATAACATTAAATATTAACAGAATTGAAAAAAAAATACAGGTTAAAATCTACTATAATAAATAAAAAGTGAATTCTATGGTGACTAAAACTG